GAAACCAAGTCCCAGACCAAGGCAAGGAGGTCTTTAAAGACCATGTCTTTTATTGAAATCACTGGGCTGTAGGCTATGGCAAACAGGAATGCAGTGTGCCTTTTTCTGGCCAGATGTCAGAAGGAGTGTGCACAACTAACAACCTTAAGATGTCATCGTGATTTGTGGACTCACTCTAGGTTTGAGCCCTAATAAATGATTATAAACGTATTGTACAATAAAGTGTTTAACTGACTGGCAATGCATGGTATTTTGAAATCCCTTCCGTTTGTCCCTCTGGCTTGTTAATGTCTAACTCTCTGCTTAAGAACAAGAGTGTGGGAGAGAACAACCTGCCTTGTCATGTTTAGTGAGAAGATGTGGATTAGACAGCCAGAAATGTTTTGGCTATTAAAAAACAATCTGACGGGCTGGGAATTTGGCTCAGTGGTTTCGCCACCTGCTGTGCAAGCACAAGGACCTAAGTTCGATCTCTGGTACCAAAAAAACCAAAAAAACAATCTGACTTTAGTGTAGTAGAAACTGTATCATCATTAAAGTTGGCTCTATTTTAATTTTTATGCTCAAATGATTTAGGGAATTGAGTTTCAGTGTAAATATTTCGTTACTCAAGGGGAAGTGGACTAGAAAAACCTTATTTAGCTTAAAAGAAATATACATGAATCAGACTAGTTTGCAGCTCCACAAACCGGAAAGAATTATTACAGGAATGGAAAAATTAAATGAGGAACTAAAAGAAGTCAGTGCATATTCTTGCCAAAGAAGAGATAATTTCACTGTTTAAAATATAACAAAACATGAACATTTACCCTCATTTAATTCAAGAAAAAAATTGCAATTAACAGTGAGACAGAGACCACTAGTTTGTAGGACAAATAAACTCCTGGGCCTTGACCTATTACTCATTAAAAGATTGATTTATGTTTATTTCTGAGGCCATAAGAGACTAAAAAGCTGTTTTTGCTAAAAACAAACATTTAAATACACACTGTTGGCATTTCAGTTGGGCCCACAGATGTCCAGTAGGTAACTAAAAGCAAAACAAAAAACCGAAAAAATAAAAAACAAAAAACCTTGACCTTCATTTTGTGTCTGCCTATTTTATCACCTAACACTTCAGGTCAGGTACCTGGTCAGCTGCATCTCTGCATGGTAATGGTTTAGGGAATGCCTGTCTAGAAGCTGGCAACACCAGGTTCATTAGCCCTAAATTTATGTAACTCTACTCTTCTCACACTATGGCTAAGGACTCCAAGATAAGAGATTTTCAGGGCCTTTCAACTATCCATAAGCACCCACAAGTCTACTATCATTGCTCTAAACCTTGACCACCTAAGGTTCTAGCAGAGCCTCTACAAAATTAAGAGTATGCCAAGGAAAAACTATCATCTCACGGAGACTGGATTAAGTGATAAGGATTCTTGCAGAGTCATCTTGCAAGAACTTAAATTACATAATGATCAACCAGAACCCAGTCCACCTGAACTTCTCCTCAAAAACCTTTTTCTTTATTTTCAAGAATGATAAAGTACAGAGATGCAGATATCAGTGAGTCAAAAAATTTACTGGGTGATTACTCTTTTCCTTGTGTTAGGAAAACATTGAAGCACCTTACACAGTTCCTGCTCTTATGTAGCTTTCACATTTTAATATGGTATGCACTGAAAAATATGTAGACCTATAAATAAATAATATAGACAAATGCAAGTAAGCTCTGATAGTGTGAAGTTTTCTTTCCTGCGTGGCATACAGAGCACGGGTATACTTAGGAGGATTTGAGAGAATTGACATTAAATGGTTCAGAACCATGATGTTAGATTTTAACTTTAAAAGCTGGGCGAGACTAAATGTGGCATAATAGGGTTAAGTAGATTGGTGAGAGAATCATGTTTGGGGAATTTTAGGAACAATTAAGCTCTCTATCCTGAGGAAAAACATCAGAGCTCTCTCTAGTTCCTTAGCTACCTTCCTCTTTCCTAGTGATTCACAGAAGTTCTGCATAATGGAAAATTGACGGAGAGTTTTTCTAACCTGCCTTGAAATGCAATGCTGAGAGATGCCACTTGGCCATGAGTAGGCAGACTTCCTGTTCTATTGTCAAAGTTCCTCTTCCACTTCATCTCCGAATCCCACCTTCATAGCTTCTGCTCCTCCATGTGGAGATTTAAGCATTTCAGAATCACCACGTTAAAACAACACTTTAGACTTTACCAACAAAACTCTATCTCTTCTAGTGCTCTTGGTTTTTGAAAGCCAGTGGCCAGGTATTGATATTATCAATTTAAGGGTCATTGTTAACACTTTTCCTGTCTTCACTTCTTAATTTAGACCATGATCTACACATACATTAGTATTTAAGGGGGACAAGTAGTAATAGCCCTCTCTTCTCTGAGTTCCAAACAAATTACGAGGGAGACAAAAAAAAATCAGGAAGGAATTCAAATACCAGCTTTAATACTGTAAGGATGGTATATAAAATGTGGATTGAACTGATGTCAAACAGCAGATTTTGGCAGCATTGGTGACTGGAAGCAGCACTTTTCAATGCATTAGTAGTAAGTACTGCAATGCATATTTTCATATTTTATCATGTTTCAGTCACATTATTTTTCTTTCCAATGTTGAAATTTCACTCCACTTAGACAAGATTGTATCATCTGTTTGTCAACTGACTTATTTTTAAGCATAAAATCAGACTGATAATTATTTCCATTTTTAAACATCACTTGTGACAGCAGTCTATTTTAGTTTGTACTTCTTTTATGATTTAGCATTTTTGTCTCACCCAGAAATATTGTAGTTCTAATATCTTTCTGGGGTAGTGCTATTTAACTCATTGGCTTTGTGTGACAGCATCATTCCAAAATTCTGAAGTTCTTATATTTGCATAATCATTAAGGCTGTGCTTGGATTTTATCTTCTAGGTCATAAGTACATCTGTGTTGTTAGCTCAGTTGCTTCATATATTTGACAAAGGCTCAGTCTGGTAACCATTTTGAGCCCTCTTTTTCCACAATTATTGTATTTTTTGCCTTCTTTCTCCACTTGGTTGTTAGGTGTTACAACTGGTGCAAATTAGTCTTTCCTGTTATTGGTACAGAACTGACTTTCCCCCAGGAGTATCTTATCATTTCTCATACCTGTTATTTAATTGTACAAAACAAAACAGTACGTACCTATGCTTGTAAATGTATACATTCTTCCTAGAAGAAATTAACACCTCATATATTAATATAGATGTCATAAAACCTTTATTGAAATCCACTAAATAATAAATAGAACCTAAAGTATTAATATTATATAAATCATGTCTTTTTTGAATCATTGTGAATTTATGGATTTTTATACCAAGCAATTTCAATTAATTTTCATAAAGAAATAAATTATCTTTGTAGTCAAGTTATTTAAACTTGTCCTTAAAGTCCTGTTTTACCTGTGATGAAGATCATGTCTTTACCACATACTCTTACACTTTTCTTCTTTTTTTATTTTAACAAGCTTTCTTTCTATCATCTAGGAAGATCCTGGAGTTTAATCATCAACTCTATCAGGGCTCCAACTCCCAGACAAAGAATAATAGCGCCTTTGCTCTTTGTTCACATTGTTTTTTCATAACCACAACTCTGGCTTGGACACAGGTCACTCAGTTCAGACGTTGTTCTAGAGCAGTTTCCCTCATGTTTTTGAAATTATAATTGTGTTCTGGGAATGACAGAATGTGCCAGGTCTCTTTTTTTCTTACTCTCAACAGGATTCATATATCTTCCAGAATCCTAGACTTTTACAGTAAGAAAATTTGTTGCTTTAAGTTAAAATCTAGCTTTTAGGTTTAAAATGAAAAATTGTATTGAGAATATACAGATGCTTTTTGTGGTGACAGTGCTGAAAAATATATATATGAATAAATTTATAATTTTCTATATTCTCACCCCCAGATTAATATAGTAAAGTAGTATTTCATTCAAGATCACTGTCAACCTATCTATCTATATTTAAAATAATATTGTATAATATACTAGGGAAGAATGAAAGGAAAAGTCTATATTCTGACATTTAGACTTTAAATAGGATCTCCAAACTGCTAGATAGTTGTCTCTGTTAGCTTGGGCTTCTGTAATAAAGCGGCATACAATAGATGAGAAACGACATTCATTTCTCACAACTCTGTAGACGAAAAGTCTAAGATCAGGGAGCCAGCATGGTCAGGCAATGGCAGAGCCCTCTTCCAGGCGGGCAGACGACCATGTGCATGCTTTGTATTCACACACCAAGCTGAAGGAGGAGGGAAAGTACAAACATACTGACCACTTTTTGTAAGGGCACTAAGTCCAAGAGGAAGAGCCTATGCTCATGATCTCAGCTAAAATTAATTACCTCTTGAAGGTCCCAGCTAGAACACCATTTCAGAGGTCATTAGCATTGCAATGAATAAACTTTGGAGAGACACCGATGTTCACCCCATAACACTACTACATGTGAAGTCTGGGACACAGGTGATGTCTTTATCACAGAATCTTACATTTCATTTTTCTCTGCTCTAACAAAGTTATTTTGTCTCACGTGGGAAGATTTGGATTTTAATTAACAGCTCCACCACCTCTTCCTCAACTTAAAAACAAAGGCTTTTGTGTCTTTACATACAGTATACATACACACCATACACTAAAAGTTTTTGCTCTTTATTCGTATTGTCTTGTGCCACTTGTATGAACATCTTATTCAGCTCAAAGAACTTTCTAGGGCATAGTTTGTCTCAAGCATATAGCTACTTTAAGAAATATAATATCTAGGAAAAGAGAAAGATATTATTTAACTTTTATTAGACATAATGACTTCTTTAGGGTATTGTAAAATATTTTGTCTGAATTAAAAAAATGAAAAATTTTATATGACACATAGGATTCTCAACATATGTATGGAACTTGTACTGACTCTTTTGGGTGTTGCTTTCTCAACTTCCTTTTTGCTTTGTACCAACTGCTGGAGTCAATCAAAGGAAACCTCAGTCTTTGGAAAGACTTCTACTAAGCAAACTTTTTGTGCTGTGGACTGCCTAATCTCACCAAAATAGGTAAGTATTAAGTATTTCTGAATATATTCTTGTATCCACATAGATACACACTCTGGGGAAAAAATAGAAGAGGTTCCTGGTCCTTCCAATCAGCGGACAAAGACAACAAACCCACAATGAGGCTAGTAGAACCGCAGAGAAAAGGTGAGTAGTCTTCTTTTAATTTTAAGAAGCAGATGGTTTTATGACCAAAATTTTAAAATATAAGTGGATAGTAGTTTTGAATATTGAAGACTATGGTGATGGAAAGGAAGAGGTGGAAAAAAATGAGGTTAATTGTGGAGGAGAGGAACACATGGATAGTTTCAAAAAAGTTAGGTAACAGAAACTTCTTTATACAATGTGGATTGTACAAACAGAGGACATAAAGCATTAAAAGAGAAAAAAAGTGGAAAGGAAGGGAATAATTTGGGAAGATTCTTTGAGAAGGAAGATACAGAAAACACACTGATGTAGGATCATGAGATGGCAGAGGCTCTGACTATCTGGTTTTTTGTTTGACTGGTGGGTCACCAAAGGAGTCGCATTGTGTGAACATAAAATAATATTTTCAAGAAATATAGAGAATGAATGGAAAAATATATGAATTTAAAATTAAAGTTTGTTCTTCTCACCAATCTGCCTTGCCAAACTTCAGTGGGTTCACACTGTACGATAGTCTGCCAAAATACCTTTTAATGTAAGGGTATGTCTTGCAAATTTTTTATCTAATTGTAGTGTAGAATTTCATCATAGAGATTCTTGATAATTTAGAAATTCTGATATTGATATTTTTGATATATTATAATTAAATTATGAACATGTAAATAGTGAGTTCTAGAGTGCTTTTTCTAAAAAATGCTGTAACAAATATCCTTTTATATAAATATTTTTAGTTATTTCTATATGACAATCCTAGAAGTGGAATTCTTGTAGCAAATGCAATGCATTTAAAATTGGTGAATACTACTAAATTGACACTTCTAAAAGATTGGTCTAATTTTCAGTCTCAGCCTCAGCATTTATTCCTCACCTTGAATGCTTACTTTCTCTCAGACACCCAACAATTCATAGTTTCAATTTACTTTTAAAGTTTTATATGAAAAACCATACTTTAACATCTTAACTTACAATGTCCTACACACTTTCATTTGTTTAATAGTTATTTATAATTTTAGCAAATTAAATTTTCAGCAAATTTTCTACTCAAAGTTTTGCTCAGCTTTTGAATTGATTTTTGAAATTCTTCATGTCATCTAGGTGTTGATATTGTAGTAAGTTGTTTCTTCCCCATATTTCTTATTCTTTCACATTGTGTTACACAGAAGTGTTAATGTTTTAAGTATTTAAACATCAGTTTTTATGGTTTTTTGGTTTTGTGCTTTACATATAAAAAATTTTCCTGTTCCAAAATTGCAAAGAAATTAACATTTTTCTTTTCTATTTATGAGTAAGCTCTAAAATTGATTTATTCCAAGGAAATATTTAAGATGTTCTTTAGATCTAAAATACTTTGAATGTTCTTATATTTAGCTTTCTTTCTTCTTGGTAGAGCTGGCTTCCCTAGACTTTGTGGCAGAATGGACAATAACCCATTTATTTTTGCTTTCGTCCTAATGCAAGGATGCCAGCATTCTCAGATGGTCCTGTGGGTTGTTGCTTCTGTTTTCATCACACTTCTTGGTGCTTGTTTTATTGCAAATTGTTTGGGTAAGTTATTAGCTAATGTGGAACTCTTCTTGAATTATTTTCTCAAATAACCTTTATAAAGTTGTTCCATTTTTGCTATATGTTTTAGACTTCAAATTCAGACTTATATACTGGACCTTCTGGTCTTTGATGGTGCTGCATTGTGTCAAGGAATGAAAAGACCATTTTATGAACATGTTAAAGTTGATATATAATAAATTATCTCCAATTTTGGATAGGGATTACAAAGAATGAAGTGTAAGCAGCAAAAATCCACTGTGCACCCACTGTGAAAAGAAAAACATCATTGGAAGACTAGTTCTTTCATCTTTAAAAATAATTTGAGTCATGACTGACATTTAAAAAGTTATAAATATTCAAAGTGTACATCTCAAGTTTGGGGATAAGTATAAATTCGAGAAACCATCACCACCATCGATGCTATAGGAAGATTTTTTTTATGATATCAAGACCTAAAATAAGGTTATTATCATCAAAGTTATGTGGTATAGGTACAAGACAAACAGAGTGGAGGAAAGAATAGAGAAATCATTTACAAATTCATATAAAGCAGAAGAGAGGATTACAGAGTTATGAGAAGAGGACAGTTTTGTTTAATAAATATTTTAAAGCCTATTGATTATCTGTACTTAAGTGCAACTGGGCCACTACATTGTACCATGTACAAATTCCAACTCACGGTGAATTATTTGTCAAAGTGTAAAAAGTGAATCAATAAAGCTTTGAAAAGATAAATGGAGACTATCTTCATGATAAGATGAACAAAATGTTTCCTTAGAAGAGTTGAAATGCATTAGAAAATAAAGAAATCATTGGAAATTATATCACATTAAAATAAGTTGTTCTATAATAAAAGATACCACAGTGAAAGCAGAAACCCATAGGAGAAAATATTTAAGTAATTAATAAATAATTAGTGTGTAGGATGTACACTTTCAAAGTAGTAGAAGAAACATTGACAATATGATAGAAAAAAATGGATCAAGTCTTAAATACATTCTATAGAAAAAGAAAATGAAAGTTTAATAATAATTCAAAGTGTCGACCTGTAGGGAACAGGGGAAGGGGACATTACCAGAACCTCTGCAGTGAGTCCTGGTCTCCTGCGAGCCACGGCAGCACACGGCGAATTACAAGAAAGGTAGAAAAATGAGACTGAGAAGAAGCTGAGCTTTGGGTCTGATCAGTGCTGCTCTGGGCAGCAAAGACAAAAGCCCCC